AGCAGTAGTAGTTAGTAGTAGTAGTTAGTAGTAGTAGTAGTAGTAGTAGTAGTAGTAGTAGTAGTAGTAGTCGTAGTAGTAGTCGTAGTAGTATCAGTAGTAGTAGTGGTAGTAGTAGTAGTAGTAGTAGTAGTAGTAGTAGTAACAATTATCAGTAATAATAGTAGTAACCATGGCAGCAGCACTAATCAGGGTAATGGCATAACCTATGATAGCAATTGTCAAAACCATCATTTCAATCATCATTTTAATCATAGTCGTCATACTATTAATGTTCATATAAATAAATCAAGAAACAGAAACCATAACATTAACAAGCCACTAGTAATCAATAATGTTGATACTAATAATCACAGTTTTCATCCCCATCATCATAATAAGCACTTTTCTTTTATCAAAATACATAAATGGCAGGGTCCTGCGTGAGGGCAAAGGTTTTTAGGTGCTGGTGTTTAGAGAACCATTGGCGGCTTGCGTTCTCAGTCTATCCTTTCTTTCGGCGTGGATCAAACCTCTTGGCTGTGATTGGTATTCCGTTTGAACCCGAGATTAGGGCTCTCTTGCGCTGATGGACTCTTTTGGAGCCATCCGCCGCAGTGCATCGTTACCCTAAGCCTAACAAACCCTAAACCCTAAACCCTGCAGCGACTAGTGCACCTATGGATCCTCGCCTGGCTTATCCGAGTTGTGAGAGTGTAAACCCTGCTGATCCTCGCCTGGCTTGTCCGAGTTGTGAGAGTGTAAACTCTAAACCCTAGAACCTAAACCCTAAACCTAAATCCCTAAAGCCAAAGCTCCTAAGAACCTTTACCCAGTTGATTGCTTTGCTGCATGGGGGGCACCAGGGGTGCTTGTGATGGCACCCTCTTCGCGCCTTCGGAAAGACATCTGTGTAAAGAAAGGAACCCACGGCAACCAAACCCCAGGAACCCAGAGACTTCAATATCCCTTAATTCAGGAATATACCTTTATTTAAGGAATATTCGTTAATTAAGGGATATTGGAGTCTCTGGGAACCGTAAGTCCTGAGCCTTCAATCCTGTGATGCAGGAGTTGGGCGTTGGGACCTTCAAACGCCTGGGCCTCAGAAATCTGCCTTAAGAAGCCCAAACGTTGGAAACCCAGTAGCCACAAGCCACAATCCTTAAGAGTAACGTATTGGGAATCCCAGCACTTTTTGGGGTTGAACCCCTAAACCCTAGCTAAACCCTAAACCCTAACTAAACCCTAAACCCCAAAGCCCTAAAGCCCTTGGTTTACTATCCCTAAACCCTAAACCCTAAACGCTAAGCCCTCCCCCAATTTCCCTAAAACCTTTTTTTTTTTTATTACTATAGTGCTTTGCAGGTCAGCTCGTGAAGGTTTGGGCACCCAGTTTACCCCTGGCAGTTTCCGAAGGATAAGGGGTACCTTATCTGGGTCCTTGTTGGCTACAGTTTTACACTTTTGTTATAGTAATAGTAAAACCCAATAAGGATTAAACATGGACATTTTCAATATATAGCCACAACAGGGTTCAAGTTGTTTGGGGTCCTTTTAATAAGGATCCTACTATTTAGGGTAATATCTTAGGGTCCCCTGTTTTCGGAAGCCCCTACTTGTCTCTCGAATGCCAAGCCGTCGATTCGCGGCCATCTTCTCCGCGGCAGCATCCGCAAACAAAAAGTTCTGAAATCACCCGGAAGTGATGTGAGCCGGAAGTGATGTGAGACCCTAAACCCTAAGCCCTGAAACCCTCAACCTTAAGCCCCTTGAGCCTGCCAACACCCTAAGCCTGTATATATATATATATATATGCATTACGCCCTACTGTCCCCTAGCCGAGCTTGAACTACCAGAAACACCCGAAACCCTAAACCCTAAACCCTTGTTGGCAGAGGCCTAAACCCTAAACCCGAAACCCTAAACCCTGACCCCTAGAGGCCCAGACATCAGGGGAAAAATGGAGGCAGATTATCGTTGAGGCCTTTGGGTTCTGGGTTTCGGCGTAGAAAGAATGACAGTATGGGTAGATCTCTAAATTAGGGAGCTGGGTTTAGGGTTAAGGGTTTAGTGTTGTATTGCTGCTAGGGCTGCTTGCTCCAACTCCGGGCGGAGTGGAAAGCCTGTTGCAAAGGGGTTTAGCTAATAATTAGGGTCCCTTTTTTGGTACCCAAGATAGTACGGCACCCTTACAAGAAAGGACCTAAAAGGGACCCTAGTGTAACCATAAGCATAAAATACGAGATCTAACGGCAAGTCCTGGGACAGAAGCACGGAAGCCCTGCAAGCGATCTCCGCCCGCATCTCAACAGTCCACACAAGCAACGCAGACAGAGCAGAACACTTAGGGTTTTGGGAGGGTTTACGGTTTAAGTTAAGGCTACGGTTTAGGGTACTGTCTTGCCCTCAACCTCACAACCTCAATGCACGCACTGCGATTGTATGTGTTCTCATCCCATGTGTGATTCCATTGTGGTCTTCTGCACTTAGCGTGTTCCTTCCCGAGCCTGCAAGCAGGATGATGCCAATGCCTCTATCTATCTCTTTCTGTATATACACACATAGAGGTATAGACATAGGTATACAGTTATAAATCGCATGCCAGCTGCCATGGAGCCACAAGAAAGCCTTTAAATCCTGAATCCCTTTCCCCCACCGTCTTCCCAGGCCTTGCTGCCTCGAAGGCACCCTGGCCTTCGTGGCATTTCGAGCAGGAGATCCGCCGATGGGGGATTTGGCGAGGTCTGAGAATGGTTGGGGTGGTCGGGGTGGCCGGGTGAGGATTCATATGCTTCGCGCCACCAGTGCCACAACCACAGTCTGTTCACTACAACTGCTGCTCATCTACTTTCGGGCTGCCACTACTTATGCTGACTTCTCGGATGACAAACACACGGACTACTACAACTAGCCAGGATTCGTGCTTCACCTGTCCCTCTGAAAAGCACGCAGATAGCCCCTAAACCGTAAACCCTAAACCCTGAACCCTAAACCCTAAACCCTAAACCCTAAACCCTGAACCCTAAACCCTAAACCGTAGAAGCATCGATCCGAACCTACCCTTGGCTTTGAGACAGCTCGACGCATTCAAAGCCTTGCAGTGTTGCGCGCCGGTTTTTGCCAGACAGTGGTAGGTGTTTGTAGGATAGATACTGCAGCTTCTCCACGTACAAAGGCCCAAAATCGCGACGAAGCTTGGGTGGTCATGTGCAGTTTCTTCAGGACGGAGACAAGTTCAAGTTCAGCACCTCGGCGACAGTCGGCTTTATGTCTCTCAACCTTGAGCCCGGGGGCAGGGCTTTTTTTGGTTTCGGAGTATGGGTCGCAAGGATTTGCAGTGGTGCTTTTCAGTTGTATTGGTTTAGGTTCTTGTTATCGTTCTCCTTGTTGTTCATCGTATTGTGTTTTGTTCTTGTTCTTGTTATTATTGAGCTTAGTGCGCAGGTTCAGCGTTCAACGTGGCATTTTCTTGCTCGACACCACGACGTTCACAACGCTGTGTCGCTTTCGTTGTTCTTATCTTTGCGCGTACTGCTATTGTCCCGTTCCTTGTCAAGGCGATTCGTCTGATGGTTAGTCAAGTCATGTTCTGGTCCCCGATGCTACAAAGCGGGAGGCGAAGAGAAAGCTAATATAGGGGCCCCAATAATTACCAATACTATCTTGGGGGTTCCTTATTGAAATCATAGTTTATTGGGCCCCCAAATCCTATTCTAATTATGAAGGCCCCTGGATTAAACCCTAAACCCTAAACCCGAGGCAATCACACCATGATGGGTGTCCTTGCTGAAGAGTGCCACTCTCAGTGTCAGGGCGCGCCAGCTTTGGGAGGTCTTGTTAGACGGGTTTAGGGTTTAGGGGTTTAGGTTTAGGGTTTAGGGGTTCGCGAGTCCACAGCACAGTCGGTGCCTCGGTTTCTGACATATGCGTAGTCCAGGTGTAAAAAGGGGTTCAGGGTTTAGGGTTTAGGGTTTAGGGTTTCCGAGCAGGGTTCCGTGCCCCAAGACAAAAGTCCGCCACAGTAGCAGAGTCCTTGTTAAGAGGAAGTAAAGATAAAGTCTGATCAACAGGACTGGTTTCGATTATAGTGATATTATAGTGGCGCTCTTGCTTTCGATGCTTTTCTTACAGCTGCTGTTTTCGTAACTATTGCGGGCAACGACTAAGACTGTGGCCATTTCTGTGGCTATGACTATGACGATGCAACTGCTTCTCCATTTGAAGGCGCTTTCCGAAAATGCACCTGGCAACACTCCGTTTTCAACTTGTTTTGGATGGAGCAGCAGCAAGCAAGCGCAAGAGCAAGAATAGGAGCAGGGCAAGAGCAAGAGCAAGGAGCGAGAGCAAGAGCAAGAGCAAAAGCAGGGGCAGCAGCAAGAGCAAGCGCAAGACCCCCCTGTTAACAGACACAGTTGAGATAAACCGCCCTAACATTCAACGCAACTTCTGGAGCTTTTTCTTTGGGGCGGGCCTCCTAACTCTAGGGGGGATTACAAATTTTACTATTACTTCCACTTCTCCTTCTACTCCTACATTTATCGCTACTACAACGATGACATTACGACGACTACGGCTACGACTACGACTACGAAGGCCGCTACCAAAACAACTACCACTACCGCTGCCACTACCGCTACCACTACCACCATCACGACCACTACCACCGCCGGCACCACCACCATCATAGCACCACCACTACCAACACCATCACCGCTACGCCGACGACGACTACCACTAGTGTTTGTTGTTGTTATGGGTCTTATTATTATTATTAGTAGTAGTCGTCGTAGTAGTAGTAGTAATAGTCGTAGTAGTAGTAGTAGTAGTAGTCGTAGTAGTCGTAGCAGTAGTAGCAGTAGTAGCAGTAGTAGTAGTAGT